CCATAAGAGTTGTGACTAACAAGTAATTGACAGTGATGCACAATATTTCTTCACTCTATATTTCATTTCTCATTGCAAACATCTCAGGTCCCGTAAACAATATCAAATCACATCATGCGACTATTGTTCATTTGTTCAGAACGAATGTTTCAGAACAGTTAGAGAGATGAAAGTAGAAAGTGGACCAGTCACTTTGAAAAATCAAAAAGTATCGAATTTTCCTTAATATAAATTCAGTGGACTATGGAAGTTGTGTGTTGATACGATGAAGCGTATGGCGAGATACATACTGCATTGACTTCTTTATCTTCACAGACAGTCAAGTCACAGACCGTAATGTTTCTTCTTTCGAAACATTTCTATACTAAGCTTGTTTTCCATTTATTAGTAACTGAAATTCTTGTGGTACAATTCAGCAATGTACATACACATAAACATATATGTAACGCCAAAGGCCGAAAGTGTCTTAGGAGGGTCGTGGAAGTGTCATAGATTCTATGTGTGGCAATATATATTCATATTCATAAATTCATGTGTTTATATGATTCAGTTCATAAAGACATCAATTCTGCTAGTTAATAACAGTGCATCTACTAAGGAATGACTTAAAAATAAAAACAAAAGACTACAAATTTACATCTTTATTTGCAATGAATCTCATTGGAACTTTACAGTTGAATTGTTCGTGTGATAGATACAGTACATTATTATGCCTAAAATACTGAACCTTATTACATGGCGCGTAAATATGTCTGCGCAGCAAAAAAATCTACCTTATTTACAACTGTTCCATATAGTAGCTTTATCAATATTTTCGTTATTTGAAAATATACTATATTTCTTCCCTGACTAGAAATTTTTACGTATTTTATAGCACATGGAAAGACGCTTCTACAACTGAACATTACATTTCAAAACTCAACAAAGACAACAAATTCCAATATACCGTTTATAAGTGAGTATACAAAATACAACTAGAGTCATTTGTAAAAGTTGCGGTATAAATTTATCCATAAAAGACTATCAAGGTTAAAATCTACACCTCTATCTTGAGTTCAATATCAAGAAACTCATAAACAATTAAACATAACAGTAAGCAAAAGTAGCACCAAGGTACATGCAATAATCATGATGATTAAATATAAACAAAAATATTTTTAGTAATAATATATATGCAATGGTAAATACGGTACATGTAGGGTATCACTAAGGTAGGTTCAAGACAAAGGCTTCTTCATTAATACACTACAGAAGAAGAAAAAATTCATTAGTACATATGAATCTTTTCATCGGCGGCGGCAAACAGTCCGTGGAAAGTTGCGGTGGCAGTTCCATTCGCTTCGAACTCAACACGTGCCATTTCTGTCCACGTTACTGGGTCCAGAACCAACAGCGCTACGGACTTCGTGTTGTTCTGAAATGGTTGGATAAAGAGTGAATTTGATGCAATGAGTAAGAGAGATATGCTGACTAGGAACCATTGATAAAAAAAAAAAAAATGAATAATCGATCGTTACCCTTGCTTTGTTACCCAGGATTTTTTTCTTCAGAAATGTGTCATTTTAAAAGCATTATGAAATGAATATTGAGACCATTATCTTGCGTACGATGTAGACATTATTCTCGAAATGTACGCAATGCACAACTCAGAAGAGTAAATAAATAAATACACCACTTTCAACGGACAGACATCAATCGGCAAACTTACAGTGTCAAGCAGAGTGGATAGAATAACGCCATCGTCCTCCTTCGTGGCGTTTGGGGCGGAAACAAACACGGGTTCGCTCACAACTTTCCCTTCCTCATGCCACAGGGTCGTTTCGCCAGTGTTCACGTTCATTTTAACCAGCTGAAGAAAATGAATGCATATTATAAATGTAGAATAGCTAGTGAAGAAACAATTCTATCGCACGCGAAACAAAGATATGTAGAGAAATAGCTGGATAAAATGGTCTTGAAATACCCGGTAGTGATCGTTTTTTGAACAACTGATCCGCTTTATTCTTTACACCGGAAACGGAAAACAAGCATCTATAGTGTGATCAGTTATCTCGAATTATCCATCCTGAAGCCAAGCTAAAACAATAATTTCTTTTCTTCCCTTCATTCTTCTTACCCGCGAGAAAACCGACCCCTTAGGGTTGACTTCGACGCCGTACGCATATTCATACTCCTTCCCGTTGTACTTGTAGTTGATGCGCTGGAGGTCAAAGTACTGGCTGGAAATCCTCTGCCCATGGACTTCCACGGTCTGGTCGGCTCTCTTGTAAGCCGTGCATTTCGTTCCCTCGAGCGTAACTGTCAGAAGAATTAAAGTAAAGGTTTGTTACTCTCAGAAGAATTAAAGGAAAGGTTGTAACTGTCAGAATAATTAAAGGAAAGGTTGTAACTGTCAGAATAATTAAAGGAAAGGTTGTAACTGTTAGAGGAATTAAAGGAATGGGTGTAACTCGGAAGAATAAAAAAGAAAAAAAAGAAAAATCATTTGTGATAATGAAAGGAACGCAACAGTTAATTTCTAGAATAAAGTGGAAATGTTTGTCGGAAGCAAGTAGTCATATCATGAGACGAACGATAAAGTAATAAAAGTAAAGAAAAGAAAAAAAAAAGAAGCAAAATAAATGTCTAGACAAACGAAAACACACAAAGAGAAAATAACTGAAAAGTGTATAGACGAATTGCTTACTGAGGTTGGTGTTTTCGGGAGCCTTCTGCACGTCGAGAGGCAACACGAACCTCCAGTGGGTTGGCATCGTCGCCGGCTCGCTCACGAAGTCGGGGTTCTCAAGGTTCTTCACCATAAGGGCGTTGACGGCCTGCGGGAGGAGAGAGCAACAGGAAATGATCTCGCGAGAAAGCAAGGGATAAATATTTACTTCTAGACACACATACAGGTATGCATCTATATGTCTATCCATACGTGTTTCTGCGTGTCTGTACACACAAATATGATACATATATATAATAGATAAATATAATATATATATATATGTATATATATGTATATATATGTATATATATATATATATATATATATATATATATATATATATATATATATATATATATATATATATATAGAGAGAGAGAGAGAGAGAGAGAGAGAGAGAGAGAGAGAGAGAGAGAGGAGAGAAAGAGAAGGAGAGAGAGAGAAATAGATAAATAGACAGATGTGTATGTCTACATATACTTACATATATTATTAACATATACATATATATACGCGCGCGCGCGTGTGTGTGTGTATGTGAATATATATTTATACATACCGAAAATAAAACCGGTTTCCTATACAAAAATAATGCTTTCATTGCAAGATAAGGCCGATCTCACCCTATAACGCGCATTTGCAATCTTGAATACTTTGATATCTGTTAAAATATTCTGACATTATTATGGTTGTCTTTCTAATTCATAATGTGCGTGATAAGAAATCGGTCAGATTCTTTAATGTAATCAATTTTATCTTTTAAAATTGTGGCGAGATAATTAATCATTAAAATGTCCTCACACTTTTTAAACTGAGAAGTCAACCACAACATTCTTAGAAGTTAACCAAAGATAATTCTAGGAAATGCGGGAAACTGCGATCTCGTACCTATTACATGCTAGTTTATGGTTGGCACAAATTCTGATTTTGGAAGTTTCATGACTTGACGCTGCTTTGAAAAGGTTACTACAAACGGCCCTCGACTCTAGATTCCTTGACACTATGATAGTGCGAAAGCGGTACGTATTCCGTAGGTAAATTTAGGCCTACCTCGACTACTGAATGTCTGTCTTTTCCCAGGCTATTGATGTTCGGTACTATACTCTGACTTGATGCTAGGATTTGTGTTGGCTGGTTTTGTAAGGGTAAGTGTCGTAAGTACCTTTACGCTTTTACACGCTTATATTATTACTTTACAATCACAAACAAAGTCGTCCGAACCTAAACAACAAGGGGTCATACCATTTGGCTGTTCGGAACGGAATTCGAAGCAAGAATTTTGGAGGGACTATATGAAGCTTCACATTGGTCTCAGACTTCAGTACTACTTACCTCACCGTCTTTCATGGTTGCCAGATCGACCACCAGCTGTCCGTCCTTCTCATAGGCATTGGTGTGGTGGAAAGTCAAGAAAGCATCTGCAGCATAAACTGTTTTCACCATTTCTCCAGTCTTTCGATTCACCAGACGGAACTTTGTCTGTCAAAAGACAATAAAGTGAAATGTAGCTTCCTGTGTTGATGAAAATCTTATTCACGGTTCATGAAATATGACTAAATTACTCGGGGTTTCGGAGTAGTCTATTCTCCGAAGCAAGGAGGATCTCTCCTTGTATGTATTTTTCATCACTACAACGAAAATCTGAAAATCGTATATTTGCATAGGGTGCGGAGAGACAAAGGTACAAAGGTGAGTTAAAAGAGAGTAATATAATCCCCGAACTTACCTTTTGCTCAGGATACCATTCAACGGCCGCGAAATATGGCTTTCCTATGTAATAGTTGAGCAGAAACTTCTTGAGGTTGAATACATAGGGCTGCTCGACGAAGATAAAGTAGTTCTCTGTGATGCCGAAGGAGTGGTAGTAGGAAGGGTACATCTTCCACTGGCAGGGGATGGCGGAGACGATTTCGGCTTGCTGGATGGACGAAATCTTCTTGCCTGAGGAAAAGGGAGTTCATATTCAAATATAGCCATTTATATGTGGATATATGAATATATATACACATATGTGCGTATTTATATATATGTGTGTGTGTGAACTCGCACACACACACACACACATATATATATATATATATATATATATATATATATATATATATATATATATATATATACGTATGTATTATACATATATATATATATATATGTATATGTATTATACATATATATCTATTTATACACACACACACATAAAGAGAGAGCGAGAGTCAAAGTGAGAGAGAGAGGGTGGGAGGGAGGGAGAGAAAGAAAGAATCCATATAAATTATGTATACAATACATATGCAAGAGAGACATACGGCAGGGATTCCTCACCATCAACCACCTTTGCCGGAGGGAACTTGATGATGTTATAGGTCGGTCCTTTCTTTCCTGCATAAGCATTTCCCATGTTGTAGATCGTGCCGTCGGGCTCTACGTGTGGATGCGCCGTCGCTGTGTTGACTACCACGTAGTTGTCCAATCTCGTCTGGAACGCCAATAGCTTTTTGACCTACTGCTTCGTAATGGACTGTAAATGGCGCGTTCGAGCTTTGCTTGTTGTTTTGATCACACGCGTATTTATATGTACTGTTTTGTTTTTAAAACTGGGAGAAGAAAGTGAAAAAGAAAACTGCATGTGGATGTGCATCTGAAGATACAGTTACTGTACATAGATAACTAGAATTTCATAATGTCAGCTTAAACATGGAAAATGAATACATACGCTATGAAAACCTTTACGATACTACGGCCTTTGTTCACTTTAATAGTGATATTGAAGAACACATATTATAGAATCACACAGGAATTCCAAAGGAAACACTTGCTTATATCCCATTGGTTAGTGTTAATAATATGATTGATTCTAAATAAGATTTTAATCAAGAAGAATTAAGAAGTAGGTATCAGCGTGTGAGACTTCTTGGTACCCATTGTTTCGTAGTTAATGAACTTTTATTTCAGTTGCATCATCAATCTCGTATGCTTCACTAATTATTGAACTTATAGATCTAAATACATGACTAAGTCTCTCGTACCTTGCTCATTTGATTCAGATATTTTCTTTCGTTTTGTTCTTATGCTAATAATAAGAAAAAGTAAAAAAGTTTTGGAATAGCGAATACTGTCATTTAAAAGATATATGATTACCAATAATAAAGTTAACGTGTCGATAACTATGCCGTTAGTGACGCTATTAATTTCAGCAAAGTAATTCATACAAGATTCTTCTAACATGATACTCATATTAACAGTGATAGCGATATTAATGTCACCAGTAAAATAAACTGTGCAATATTATCTTCACTTCTTGATAAAAAGAACATTCGCTTTTCAATTTATTTATTTATCATATTCATATATTAATTTATCAATATATCGATTTATCTATCTGTCAATATATCGATTTATCTATCTGTCAATATATCGATTTATCTATCTGTTAATATATCGATTTATCTATCTGTTAATATATCGATTTATCTATCTGTCAATATATCGATTTATCTATTTGTCAATATATCTATCTATTAATTTATCCATGCAATCATTCAATCGTAAATAAATTAATTCAGTCTTTCATACGTTCATTCACTTCAACAACTTTATCTATTTCAACGAACCTTGTCTCCCACCACGTCCAGAGTGTCGGGGTGGATTCTCCTCAGATTCCGCGTCTCGGTGAGGGCGTACAGCTGGTCCCCGAAGTAACACACATTCACCACACAGTTGTCTGTCGGTTCCGCTTTGCTTATGGGCGTGAAGGCACTCATGAATCTGTGAGAGAGGAGAGGGGAGGTGAGAGAGGAGAGGGGAGAAGAGAGGGAAGGGAGGTGAGAGGGGGAGGTGGAGAGGAGAGGGAAGGGAAGTGAGAGGGGGAGGCGGAGAGGAGAGGGAAGGGAGGTGAGAGGGGGAGGTGGAGAGGAGAGGGAAGGGAGGTGAGAAGGGGAGGTGGAGAGGAGAGGGAAGGGAGGTGAGAAGGAGAGGGGGAGAGGAGAGGGAAGGGAGGTGAGAAGGGGAGGTGGAGAGGAGAGGGAAGGGAGGTGAGAAGGAGAGGGGGAGAGGAGAGGGAAGGGAGGTGAGAAGGGGAGATGGAGAGGAGAGGGAAGGGAGGTGAGAAGGGGAGGGGGAGAGGAGAGGGAAGGGAGGTGAGATGGGAAGATGGAGAGGAGAGAGAAGGGAGGTGAGAAGGGAAGATGGAGAGGAGAGAGAAGGGAAGTGAGAGAGGAAGATGGAGAGGAGAGAGAATGGAGGTGAGAAGAGAAGATGGAGAGGTGAGAGAAGGGAAGTGAGAGGGGGAGGGGTAGAGGAGAGGTGAGAGGGGAAGGTGGAAAGGAAAGAGAAGGGAGGTGAGAGAGGAGAGTTGAGCGGAGAGGGAAGGTGGAAAGGAAAGAAAAGAGGTGAGGGGAAGGTGGAGAGGAGAGAGAAGGGAGGTGAGAGGGGAGGGTGGAGAGGAGAGAAGGGATTTGAGAGAGGAAGGTGGAGAGAAGAGAAATTGAGGAATGGAAGAGAGAGATAAAAGGAAAGAGGTTGAAGGAAGGAGGATGGGGGTGATTGAGGGTTGGGAGGGTGTTGGTGGGGGAGAGAGTGAGGGAGAGGGAGAGAGAGAGATGGAGATGGAGGGAGATAGATGGAGAGGGAGAGAGAGAGATCGAGAGGGAGGGAGATAGATGGAGAGAGACTGAGGGAGATGGATATATATATATATATATATATATATATATATATATATATATATATATATATATATATATATGTATATGTGTGTATATATATACATATATATATATATATATATATATATA